TTGCAAAGGAGCCTCCACAATTATAGGAAAAATAATCAAATAACTTGGAAGGAAAAAACAAGTGCTTGGCAAAGATGAAGTTACAACTTTTCAGGTATGGGAGTATGTTAGTGTAACAAGTGCTGTGAGGAAGTGGCAGGATTGGAATGACCACCATTTTATAAACCTTGCAAACTTACTTTTCACTTAAATAAGGAGCCAATCTGAATCTACTGAGTGAAATGGGCTAAGACTGGTTCTATAGTTTTAACAATAGTGAAGGTATAAAAATTTGATTTGATTTCAGTGGAGTTAGCAGAGCTTGTTGGTATGCAAATAATGTATAGAAGTCAAACAAACAAAAATGTAGGTGGTGATAATCATAGATTAAATCTACAAGAGATATTAAGAAACTACTTTCTCAGATTTTGTGATCAGTCATGATACCCAATAGAAGTGTAACAATCCAGAATGTCACCCACCCAACAACATTGGTACTGATGACTTCTGAAGTCAGCACACTTGGAGGCAAGTTTCTGACCTGAGTTTAAGTGTTGGAGAAATCACTTGGCAGTCATGAAACCTACCTCCATCCACAATATTTCCACTTCTCAAGCCAGCTGGCTAGGTACTTACATTGGTCTGGAGTTTAGGAGGTTTGGCTGAGGGGAAGTCTTCTTGCAAGCAATGAAAAGTTGTTTCAAGGAGAGCTGCAACATGTATGTTCACAGAGATAGCTAGAGCTTTAAGTACTAATTAAACCATTGCATGCATGAGACATGAATGTCAGCCCCATCAATGGTTGCAGATGTGGCAAAGTAGGAGGTTCTGTCATGTTGTTAATGCAACCACACAAGAGATGTTGCATTTAAAGGTTTGTTTCAGGATTCAGTCCTCATTAACACACTGTTGCTCCCCACTTCTGGCATTTAGTTAATACCTAGGAAAGTACTCGATGGTGTAAAGGGTTCATACTTCGCACATTGGTTCCAAGAAAAAGCAATTACATAAAAACTCTACGCATTCCCACAAACAGTACATGTTCACAGTGAATTTATGTTGGCTCTAGAGTTTATCTGTGTGTATGAACTGTTTTTGGAGAGTCTGGAACTTCCTTTCATGATTTAGTTTGCATGGTGCTAAGTGAGTTGCTAAACAGAGGAGGACTTTTAATACAATAACCAAATTTGGAAGTTAGGAAGTTTCCCATATGAAATTAATCCCAAACTCTGTTGTAGTTAGCTTGAGGTTTTCTTCTGAAATCTATTCAGCAGTGCCTATGTTCTATTCAGCTTCCATATGGACAAGTAGGGAAAATGGTAACTAATTTGTAGGAAGTAATGAAAAAAAATGTAAAGCTACCGGGCAAAGAAAAAGAAATCAAAACAAAATTGAATCAGAAATAAATGGGTTCTACATTATTTCCATGAGGTTTCCACAGATATTTGACAACAGTAACATTAGACAATCTAGCAGATTTCCACAGATGTTCAATGCTAAAGTTTTTGGAAATCCTGCCAATCTAGCTACCGGCTACTAAAAATAACTCTTGCCTTTGTTTCTCATGCCTCAAGATCTTGGGAATGCATTTTGTACAGGTTAGAATATTAACAATAACAATTGGAGCAAAAATAATTAAACATGTAACATAGGACATTATATTGTTATAGTTTCAGTTCCAATCAGCCATTCATATGGGGGAGTATCCTTGGTCTATGGAAATAGCATTAGAAAATAGGCATGTGCGAAAGTGGCTGCATATTCCAATATAATGGAACTTGTGTCTGTTTTCCTTAAGCAACTATTCAATTTAACCCACTGCATTAGGTGGCTTTTATTCCTTTCCCCACCAATGATTGGAGGTAGCATTACTCCGCTAGCAAATAATGGTATTTAGCTAGATTCAAATGTTTTTCCCATAACTTGACCAGCTGGCATTCCTGCATTATTTTTGCCCTTCTTCAATAAAGCTAAGGCAACTGGGGAATAATAAATAGAAATAAAACTTCCATTCCTCCATTGAATATAATACTAGAGACTGAAGTGTATTAATTCCACCTTTCCATCAAGAGAACTGAAGATTTAAAAAAAGCTTGAGGTGTAAATAAGAATGTAATAAGAATGTCGTGAATTTTGAGGGAAATTGTTAGCAAAAGAGTGTCAGGGCCTGATAATGAGAGAAGATGACTTGGAAAAGAATACAACGTACAACTTAATGCTCAAAGTCTTCAGGATAAATAGTCAAGTAAACCACATACAGAGAATATTGAAGGAAAACCTACTAATTATGGACTAATTTTGCAGGATACTATATGGCAGTAGCTTTTTTTTGAGAAGTCCGCAATGTGAACATTTTGGGACTCAAGAGTCAAATTCCCAGAAACATATACCATCTGTCACCAGTAGAATGACCATGATTATTATGGTAAAAATACTTTCATGCCTATAGGGAGAGAGCAGGGAATCACAGTAATTACATAGCTCTTTTACAGCTGGCCTAGGTATGATGAGCTGAATGACCTCCTTCGGTGCTGTATTATTCTGCTTTGCTAGTCTGTACAGGAGTTTGTCTGTGTGGAGTTTGCACGTTCTCCCGAGTCTGCATGGGTTTCCTCTGGGTACTCTGATTTCCTCCCACAGTCCAACGATGTGCGGGTTACGTGGATTGGTTATGCTAAATTGCCCATAGTGTCTAGGTTAGGATAATGGGTAGATCTGTGTGGCATGCTGTTCAGAGGCTTGGTCTGGAATCGATGGGCTGAATGGCCTATTTCCACACTGTAGGGGTTCTATGATTCTAAATTAAACAACAAGCTTTCCTATTATGACAGAAGTGCAGAATTTCAGGGAAGATTGACACCCTCAGTCTTTTAAGCACCCTTTTTTGTTTGTTACTAGTGTTTGGCATTAAAACATGTGTGCCTTAAAACATGGCTTTAATGCAAAATTCCTTGGAGTGGTTGATTAATTAAGTAAGACATTGCAGTCACTGTCCAGTGAAAGGCCTTTTTTATGGTTCACCAAGGCTATCTTGGGCAGAAATTCAGCATATATTCACAACAAGAGAATGTAAACGCTGGCCAGTGACATAATAATATACTTCTATATTAACTTCATAAATAAAAATTCAAACAAACATTTATTTGCTAATTAGTAATTTTATAAATTGTTTATTTGAAAATGAATTTAAGGACAAAGAATAAATGATTTTTGCTGCAATTTATACCTTTGTGTAAAGATTGTAAAACTACTCAATGTAGTCAACAAATCAGATATACGTTTGATTGATGAAAATATCAATTAATCAAAAGGTGCAATATGAACCATTTTCCTCCCAGTTAATTTCCCTGAACTGCAATCATCCTGAATGAATTTCTGATAACTGTCAGTCTGTCTGTAGTATGCTATGTATTTGAAATATTGACCAAAGTTTCTGCTTCAGAATTACTATATTGCCAGAGGACTAGAAGTACAGATTGACAAGTAATAACCTATTTGGCATAGAGGTCATTTAATATCTGCACATTAAGATATCCATGGCTGACATGTATAGCATAGTGTACAATTGGAACATTGATGCAAATTATGGAAAATTGGAGGAATTTTATCTTGCACGAAATTAACTGATTAAAACATCTTTTAACATATAAAATATACATAGTGTTCAGTTAATCAAAAAAGTAAAATCCCAAAACAAGTTTTTATCCTTTATAAAAACCTTCTTAATTACAATGTTTTTGAAAAGACAGAACAATTTCACTAGCCTATTCTTTGCATATTCGCTTTGAATTTAGATTCTTCAGACAAAAGCACGTGTATCAGTAACTATTAATAATGGAAAATTAAATATTATACAATAAGTAAAAATAGCATCTACTGACAAGCAAGATCAACCTTTTCTAATGCAATGTATTTTAAAGCTTCTCCCTACCACAGTCGCAACCAATCACTCACAATTGATCTATACAATTATACTGCCGCAGAATGCAATGCCATTGTATACTCAACAAAGTAGAATTTATTTTACCAAACCTCTCTTGCAACAGTCTGCAAACTGTTTTGCCCCATTATTATTCTTTTTATACAGTGCACCTTCTGACTGCACAAGTAATGACTACAGTCTGGATTTGTAGCCCAATAGAGCTTCTAATATTGAAGGAAGTATCATATTCAGTTAGTAGAACTGGGTTTGTCTAGAACTGTATCCAGTATTTGGAAATCTGTTTGGCAGTCTGTGCTTATTTTCTACTTGGATAAGTTTCACCCAATGCACTAATAGTGTGCGTCTGAATTTGTAGAGGTTGAAACTAAATTAGATCTTGACTGACTTAGTAAATTCATAACTTTCTCTTGACTTCTACACTGAGATCATTACAACCTTTTTTGATATTAAAAATCCGAGGCTATATGCTCCATCAGATTACTAAACAGCCACAAAGTGCGGGCTTGTGTTTTGGTACAGATACTTTTACTTAAGCTTTATACACGTATTTAGATATTTAAAATCCATTTCAGTTCTCACCATTATATAATCTGGAATGGAAAGCTGCCAAGATTGTTTTCAACATCTGCATAAAATTAGTTCACAATATCACGATTATCCGTTTAAAAAGTTACTTTCAACTATAGTTCACAATATATTAAAAAAATGACAATTTGAACTCTTGCTTACATAAATCGAAGAGACAGATTTTGCAAATGTTATGCATTCTTAGATACTAGAAAATGTGCACGTTCATACTGCCAGCAAATAATGTATTTTGAATTCTTGACAGCTCAGAGAAGACCAATTTGGTAAATTTTATTGGCAGATGAATTAGCACCATATTATTAAAGTTATAAGAAAATGATAATCATAGTAATATTTGTCTGCCTCACCAAATTCATAAACATTAATGCTGAAGACAGCACTTAAATTAATGTGTGCATCAAAATCAGATTTATAAAGAATATGTTTACCATATCACTTCTTGCAGCACACATTGAAAATCTATGACTACTTTCAACGTCTGGTTTGGCAACAGATTTTCTTAATAAAACAATGTGTTAACTTATTACAGAGTTGTTTCATATTCCAACCGTTCTTCAATGAGGGCTTCATCCTTGTACTGAAGTTGAGGTGGAGAAGATGCCCATTCAAAAGCAAGGATAGCCTTTCGTAGACTTCTGTCCAAAACATGTCTGTCCCATGCTGGATACTTGTTTCTCAAAAGGTCAATTTTGATCACTGTTTCTTCTATCCTTGGGGTGCGAGAAGATGGCGTAGAGGGTGCAGTAGATCTAACCTGAAAAACAGGCATGCTACCATCCCTTTCTGTGAATTTCTGTTCCCTGTTTTGGGTCACAGGCCTCAAAGCACTTGCTGCTGTCTCTGCAGGCAAATTGAAAGTGGCCACAGGCTCCTTGCAAGCACACCTTTGTGACTGGCCAAACCTTGGTCCATTTGGATGAAAAAAGGCATAGTACATCAACATAAAAACGATTCCAGTTAAAAAACTACTAAAGACAACACAAAGCGCTGGTATGGCAAAAGCATCCGTTATTTGAGGTGCTCGGTACAAATACCACAGTGCACTCAAGGCAGTGTTTTCCAAGAGGATTACAAAGTAGTAGATAAAAAGTCGACACCGAGTTCTTCCTTCTTTAACATTGAACCAACTGAAAATATAAATTATTCCTACAACCATGTCAAATACAATCTCCTCCCACTTGGTTATGCAGAACTCTGTTTCACAATGAACAATCCAGAAAGTCATGATGCACCAATGCAAGACAATGAAGATCCCAAAATAGAGCTGGAAAACTGATGCAAACAAGGCAAAGGTGATAACTCTGGCTGCAATAGTGAAGAAATGCCAACAGAACTGAATGATAACAGCCATGTAGCTGATGGGTTTTTTATCATTCCTGGAATCACGAAGAGCTTTCTGATAGGAAGCCAAGGCCCAGGCCAAGGACACAAGGGATACTGCAGCTGTAAGGCCTGCAGGAGAGATAAAAGTACACAGATAGTTAATAATTTTATATCAGTGACAGAGCAGAAACTATGAATAAAATAATCCCTATGAAGTAAATTTGCCAGATCTAAGTTGAAATCTTGCTTATAAGATCTTTCCAAAACATACCTAACCAGTTATGTGACACTATTTAAAAATGCCTTTCATTTGTCAGTTTATTCAAATACTTTTCTGTAAAATATGAATTTTCTTAAATCACTGCTTTGAATTGCTGCTATTAATCAATGTATTATTTGACAAAAATATTTGGCCTTCAGTTTTAAGCACTGGAGTGCATATGACCCCCAAAGATGGTGGCAAACTCAAGGAATTTAGGGATGTCGATATCCATCTAAACTTAAGAGCTGGCAACATTCCATAAACTTGAGATTGTTGACTTGCTTGCCGAGCTTGCTTGTTTTCTATAAGACATTTTGCTAGGTAACACCATCAGTGAGGCATCTGATGTAGCAATGTTGTTCTACTCTGCTTGGAATATATACTGTCCGGACCATTATGGTTATTAACATGCAACGATTGCCACAAACATTACATCGGACACACAGGAAGGAAACTAGCCATCAGAATACATGAACATCACCTAGCAGCAAAATGACACGATCCTCAACTTCCACAGCCACCACCACAACGTCCACAAAGCTGCATTAGGATATTATTTAAACGGGCCATGACTCACTGCAACACTCCAGAACTATGCAGGAAAGAGAAGAGCACCTATACAAAATATTCGCTATGAACGGATATCCCCACAATTTCATCCGCAGGTGCCTATTAAATAGACAACAACAAGAGGACACAGTATGCCCTAACACACTGGCCACACTGCCCTACATCAAGAACATATCAGAACTGACAACAAGACTCCTAAGACCACTAAGAATCATGGTAGCACACAAGCCTGCAGCCACCCTACGACAAAAGCAAGGATTAAAGACCGCATTCCCACAACATGCAGAACCAATGTGGTTTATAAAATACCATGCAACGACTGCCACAAACATTACATCGGACAGACAGGAAGGAAACTAGCCATCAGAATACATGAACATCAGCTAGCAGCAAAACGACATGATGAACTTTCCTTAATATCAGTACACTCGGACAATGAAGACCACCATTTTAACTCGGATAACGTAACTATAGTAGCCCAAGCTAAACATAGACATGCACGGGAATTCCTAGGGGCATGATTCTCAACCCGTAATGCAATCAACAAACATGTAGAATTGGACCCCGTATATAAACCCATTCAGAACGAAACCAGAAATGACGCTACTCACCATAATGGACTGGACTGTATAAATTCCAAGCGGAGTAGAACAACATCACTACATCAGAGGCCTCACTGATGATGTTACGTAGCATGGTGATGAAATGTCTGAACGAAAACAAGCCAGCTCGGCGAGCAAGTCAACAACCTCACCCACGAACTGAGGTATAAATCTTTGCTAAAATTTTAAATTCCATAAAATTCTTTGCTGAGCTTCCAAAACCTGGCAGACAGGAATAGGAATTCTTAAGCGAAAAAGTGCAGCCTTTGAATGAAGTAAACGTTGAGAAAGTCCTGGATGCAATTATGCTGAGGAAGGCAATTAAATGGCAAGGAAGGCCCAAAGCTGTCTCATGAGGCCCAGAGAAGCATTCTCACTCCTCTTAGCACTCAAGGAAGCCTAAAATCAAATGTGACCAATTTGACACCTTGGGTAGATTTTTTTTTAAAATTCATGTTCCTGACATATTTGGCCTTCTGTAGAATCTGACTTTGCTCCCTCACTCAGGTTTCTAACTAATATTATAGTTGGGTCCCACTGATCATCAAGACTTGATCTGCATAAAGACGTATAATGATAGACCTTGCTTCTTTTGTATGGGTGTTCTACTACTCAAAATGACAGGTTGACATTAAGCCAAGGTGAGTAGACTGTAATAGAGGTAAGGGATTCACTCGGACAGACAAGTCTCGAAGGTAATTGTATAGATTATTAGTTCTTAGTTTTGTTTTTTTTCTCAGAGATCCATTTGTGATTTTGTATTTTTTTTTGTTCAATGGATACAAAGTGTGGCCTATAAATATTTACATAGATAAGATGCAAGATGGTCATTTTTTAAAAGGGAAAAGCTTGTTTGCTTTGTTTACAGCATAGATTATCTCCAAATAGAAGTTATTTGAGTGGTGAAATAATTGCAGGTTGAGCTGGATTTGGGATGCACCTTAGAGGATGAGGTTACTTTTTGGGATTTAGAGCAGGACCTGCACAACAGCAAAAGCTGGTGCACCTTTTTGAAATATATTCAAAAACATGACAGTGATGATCCTTGAAATGTGGATAAAAGAATAATTCATGGAATCCCTGCAGTGTGGGAACAGGCCATTTGGCCCAAGTCCAAGGCAGTGGCCTCTCCAAAGAGCATCCCACCCAGACCCATTCCCCTACCCCTGCATTTCCCATGTCTAACCCATCTAACCTAAACATCCCTGGAGACTATGGGCAATTTAACATGGCCAGTTCACCTACTCTGCACATCTTTGGACTGAGGGAGGAAACTGGAGCACCTGGAGGAAACCTGCGCAGACACAGGGAGAATGTGCAAACTCCACACAGACAGTCGCCCGAGGGTGGGATTGAACTCAGGTACCCTGGCGCTGTGAGGCAGCAGTGCTAGCCACCGAGCCACCATGTCACCCTCAAAGTGGAGAATGTGGGCATTGATCCCACTATCTCTTGCATGCGAAGCAAGCTGTCTACCATTTGGACTAATGCCCCGCAAATTAGTAAGCACTAATTTGAACAGTGTCTGATCTTTCTAAAGTGTTTCTTGTAAATAGATTTTCATTTCTGCATAGAGGTGTAAATCAGATCACAAAAACAGTAGGTTTGTATGCAGAAGAAACAAGTTTTGTGTGGCCTCTCTATGGGTCAAGAAAATCTTGGACGTAAACTAAACGTGCACCTCTTCTGATGTCATTGTGTACATTGGGAGGACCACAAGGTATGGCTCACATTTTACATACCTGACTCAAAAATTCAGTGCTTGGAGGCACTGTATTCTTTAATCCAGTATCTCAATTCCTATTCCTCAAATACTTGACTGTTGAATAGAGCATTTAAACTTTCTTAAATACTACATGTAACCATTTATAATTATTTTGCTGTAGATTGTTTCTCTATAAACTGAACTCCAAAAAACATATTACATAATATGTCTATGCACCTGGCAGCCCCCGTGGCTATCTGCAAAGTCTTTCCTGGAACATCAGGCATAATTCCTGATAAGCTGCTCTCCAAAGAAGTAAAATTATAACATCAAGGACACTTTCTCCTAAATTGGGTTTGCCAAGTTGGGAATGATCCTGACTCTATGCTTTCAATTTTGGAATGAAAATTCAGACCTATGTGTATGGCTAATTTTCTCAAATATGAATTTCTGGTAGGGAGCCTCATGCCTTGCCAGTATATTTAAAAGCTTTACAGAACTGCTTTGACTCTTTCAACTCATTGGAATGGATTGCAAGTCATGAGGATTCTCAACCTGCTACTTGAAGGGAGGATCAGTGTTATGGACCAGACCAGACCAGACCCCCTCAAAATATTTTAAGAAGGTAGCCGAGACACTAACCTTTTCTTATTTTAAAGGTAGATGTGAAGTATGTGATCCAGATGTGATGCAACAGGTCAAACCACTCAATGTTAAGCAAAACACAATTTATTTAAACATTATAGTTAAAATACAAACAAAAGAAAGAGAAATTCAGAATAACTTAACTGTTGGAAAACTTAACTGAATAATAGATACTGGACCTATTACTAATTAACTGTTCCAATATAGTAACATTCCATAAACACATCACTTGGCAAAAAGATAAATTCAGACAAGATTCTTACATGCAGCTCCTCAATCAAGGAGAAAACAGCATTAAGAGAGATTTCAGAGGAAGTAGCAACTAGGAATTCTTTACTGAATCTTCAACTCTTCTGGGACTTCTGAATGCTACAGCTAAAAGACCCCAGAGAACTGGCCACTCCACTTCCATCGCTCCAACCATTTTTAAAAAAAACCCAAAAGGCCTCATAAAACTTAAAACATAAAATTTTAAAACTCTTAGTAGTCTTACTCTATTATACAATAATAGAGTAGTACATATACAATACATATATATTACATTGACTCTAAGCATGCAAATAATCACTAGTAAATTTTATTTCAGTCCCTTTACTTTTGCCACCGAACGCCTTCATCTTTCTTCATCCAAGTCGCGACAACACATTGGCCGTTATGTTTTCTCACTCTGCCACATGTATAATTCTCAAATTGAATGGCTGCAATAATAAGCTTCATCTAAACAGTCTGGGATTTTTTTCCTTAAATTTCTCCAAAAACTTTAATTGGTTATGTTCAGTGTATAAAATTGTCGCAGACACATTACTGGCAATATAAATGTTGAAATATTGTAACACCAACACCAAGCTCAAGGTTTCCTTCTCAATCATGGAATATTTCTATTGATGAGTATTCCATTTTCTGGAAAAATACCTGATAGGACTTTCTATATTCTCGTCATCTTGTAAGAGTACAGTGCCAACACCTGCATCACTCGCATCGATAGCCATCTTGAATGGATTTGTGTAATTAGGTGTGGGAGCAGTGGTTAACACAGTTTTCAGGCTGTCAAATGCCTGCTGACAGTCCACAGCCCACTGAAGTTTTCTGCACTTCTTCAATAAGTCAGTGGAGCAACCAAACTGCTAAAATTTGGTACGAACATCCAATAAAACCCTTTCATCCCAGGATTCGTAATACTGCTCTCTTCATTAATGGTATGGGAAGCTCCCCAACAACCTTTGTTTTCACATTCCATAGGGCCATCTGTCCATGTACGATAACATGACCCAGGAACGTGACTTGGGCTTCTGCAATTCACTCTTAGCCAGGTTTGTCACCAAGCCTGCCTCCCAAAGTCGATTGA